CACTTCACCAAGGATTTCCTTCAAATGTCACATATTAAGAGGTAACGCAATGCACTGCTGTGGAGTCAGATCTGACTCATACCAACCCCTCCTTGGGTTTCCAATGTGATACTACGGAAGTAGATTGCCCAGTCTTCCTTCCAAGGAGTAGTGGGTGGGTTTGAGCCACCAGCCTTCTGGTTAGCAGTCAAATGCCTTAGGCACCATGCTAAGAGATAGATTTTTGTTTATTGACTAGGGTACCTTTACTGTGGCCTATTTCACTCTAGAACTGGGGTTAACCCTTAGTGCTCAATTAAACTAGTCACCATATTGGTTACCTGAGGGGATACTGTATTAACCCATGACTAAGCACAGGATGTTGTTATTAGGTGTGGTCCAGCTAATTCCAACTCAGAGTGACTCCATATGACAGACTAGAACTGCCCCATAGGATTTCCTGGCTGTAATCTTTATGGGAGCAGATCGACTAGGTCTTCCTCCCATGGAGTAGCTAGGTGTGTTGGAACTAACTGCTAAGTGCTTAACCATTTTGCCCACCAGGACTACTATACCCAAAATAAAAAGAGTAAAAGTCAAATTCTTAAATTTGGATTTTCTGTCCATGACTATGGCTACTATAAAAGCAGCAACACTTTTATCTGTGGTAATCTGGGTGAAGATTTCATAGCTTCAAACTATCGTTCTTCAGATTTTATGTTGAAAATAATTGACCTTCACCACCTCCGTCTTTTGCCCATCACCAGAACACGGTCTCTTTTTTTAGATGACTTCAGGCTGGGTATTTAGTCATTGACAGTGTCCTCTCCTGATTTTTCTCCCCAACTGCTTTATGTTGGAGTGCCCAAGGCTGAGTCCTTGGACTCAGTCTATTTACACACACTCTCTGTCCTGATATCTCCCAAATCCCTTCCCTGCTTGGTTTTTCTACATTTATCACAATCTAATATACTATACATAGGAGCTCTGGTAGCACAATGGCTAAGGCACTTAACTGCTAACCAGAAGGCTGGCAGTTCAAACCCACCAGCCACTCCTCGGAAGGAAGATGGGGCAATCTACTTCCATAGTGATACTGCCTCGGAAACCCAAGGAGGGGTCGCTATGAGTCGGGTCCAACTCGATGGCACATAACAACAACAACAACAATATACTATACATTTTACTTATCAATCTCTTATCATGTCTCTCTTTTATAGAATACAAGCTTCATGAGGGCAGTGATATTTGTTTTGTTCAGCACTGTATCCCCAAAACAAACAAACACAAAAACCCCTAACTCACTGCTATCAAATCGATTCTGACTCATAGCGACCTCCATTGGGTTTCCAAGTCTGTAAATCTTTACAGAAACAGAATGCCTCATCTTTCTTCCTCAGAGCAGCTGGTGGGTTCAAACCACTCCCCTTTTGGTTAGCACCCAAATGCCTCAACAGCTACACCACCAGAGCTCCTTGCTATACCCCCAGTGCCTATATAAAAGCGCAATAAATATTTGTTGACTAAATAGCCTAAGAAATAAGATATATCTCTCCAAACACCTCTATTTTGCCTTAATAATCTATTCTTTATCTATCACCCCATAATTTATCTAGTAATTCAAATGTAATTTCATTCCATTTAAATCCCACTGTACTTGAATTTTTACTTTGTTTTAGGCATTTTTTCAAATCTGTGGGATACAGAGTAATTCATTTAACAAATAATGAATATAACTGTGCTAGGCACTGAGAACACAGCAGTGAATAAAACCAACATAATCCCTATTTTTATGGAATTTACAGACTGGTGGAAGATACAGGTATCAGATCATCACATAATTATGTTGTGATAAATTGTGATACCCAGCATAAGGCATTTTAATGAGGGATGTATTTAGATTAGGGGAGAGGGAATCAATGAAAGATTTCTCTGAAAGAACAGTATTTAAGCTGAGGTGAATGAGAGCCAATTTATAATATAGATAAACTCTTCAAGGAACTCCCTTCCGCCTGTGCCACTGTGATCAAATGGCTTTCCTTTTGCTCATGTATTTGCAGATGAGTATCTAACTGATGTAAATGTTTAAAAAATAAATAAGGTAATACTCTGTTGTTGTTGTTATGTGCCGTCGAGTTGGCCCCGACTCACAGAGACCCTTCCTTGGGTTTCCGAGGCAGTATCACTACGGAAGTAGATTGTCCCATCTTCCTTCCGAGGAGTGCCTGGTGGGTTTGAACCGCCAGCCTTCTGGCTAGCAGTCAAGTGCCTTAGGCACTACGCTGCCAGAGCTCCTTAAGGTAATACTCTAGACTGACAAAAGCAGCAAGTCTTTGTGGGGTGATAGGAAGAGAACAAGGAAGAATCCTGGTAACTGTGTTAGTCCCAAATCTGCCACAATCTGCCTATGTGACTTTGGACTAATTGTCTTAGTACTTCTGGACCTCACTTTGTCCACCTGTAAATTAAGGGTGAGTCGACTTCAGTGGGTCTTAATCTCTTTTGGGTCACTCACCTCCACACTGCTGATAGGGTTATCCTGCCCCCCCCTCAAAAAAAACTGGTTATATAATTCCTGTTTTAAAATTTCCTTTGCCTGCCTGTTCAAACACTTAGGACATATAAGACCCTTTATAATTTGACCCTTTTGGTCACTCTAATCTCCTTTTATTTTAGCCTACAGACCTTTACCAGTGCTTCTCAATTCCCATTCCAGGGCTTCAACCCAAAATTTTTCCCATTCCACTTATCATTATGCTTCATCCACATTTTAAAACTTTGAGTCTGTTCTGATTTCATTGTGTCAGCCATGACTGAACCAGTTCAAAGCCCTGGCTTTTACAGCACTTTGTTCATCTATCATCCACTACTTAGTACCTACTATAATTATTTATTTACATATCTGTTTCTCGCACTATAATGTAAGCTTGAAAACAGTGACTATGTCTTACTCATTTTTATATTCCCAGCATCTAGGACATAACAGACATATAATAAATGCTTGTTAAACAAATGAATGAATAGATAAAGCTGAAGAACTATTCATTCCACAAATATCCGAGTGCCTACTATATGTCAAGAAATCCAGATGACAGCTACCTGGCCAACTGACTGCAACAGATCCATATTTGTGCCCATTTCAAGGAAAGATAATCCAACAGAATGAGGAAATTATCAAACAATATCATTAATATCACATGCAAGTAAAATTTTGCTGTAAACAATTCAAAAACAGTTGCAGCAGTACATTGACAGAGAACTTCCAGAAACGCAAGCTGGATTCAGAAGAAGACATGGAACAAGAGATATCATTGCTGATGTCAGATGATCTTGGCTGCAAGCAGAGAATATCAGAAAAATGTCTACCTGTGTTTTATTGATTATGCGAAGGCATTCGATTGTGTGATAAATTATGGATATTAAATTATGATAAATAAATTATGGATAATATCTAGAAGAACGAGAATTCCAGAACACTTAATTATGCTCATGAAGATCCTGTACATAGACCAGGAGGCTGTTGTTCAAACAGAACAGAACAAGGGATACTGCATGGTTTAAAATCAGGAAGGTAGTGTCAGGGTTGTATCTTGCACCATACTTATTCAATCTGTATGCTGAGCAAATAATCTGAGAATCTGGACTATATGAAGAAGGATGTGGCATCAGGACTGGAGGACAACTCATTAACAACCTGTGATACACTGACGACACAACCTCACTTGCTGAAAGTGAAGATGATTTGAAGCACTTACTGATGAAGGTCAAAGACTACAGTCTTCAGGATGAATTACATTTCAACATAAAGAAAACAAAAGTCCTCACAACTGGACCAATAAGCA